AGATATGTGACTTCTTCGCGCCACTTGTCTCGAATGAATTGGTCGGCAGAAGGAGAAGCGAGCTGTAAACACACTTTTAAGATAACACAAATCTGACGTCAGGCACTGCGGTCACCGATTCTCTCAGGTTCGACACCACTGCACGGAATCGCCGACCAGCAGGAGCACGATATGCTCGCCTGGCATGACTCATTCCAGCGCGTGCCATCGCAGAGGAATGTGGGATTCCTGAATGCGGAACGCTTTCACCTCGCACCCCTTCCTCGCCATGCTTGTGCGTATTCAGCGACGTGCGTTAAATGTTGCTTCGTTGAATGTTTGTGTGGGTTCTTTTGTTGCCTTCAAAGCCTGGAAGATTCTGTCACTATCATCAGTTTATACAACTCTGTCGCATGGGCTCAAACGTTTTGCGTGAGGCGCTACGGTTTCGAGAAGGAACAAACGAATCAGTAGAGAAAAGCAACGGGCCTCTCTGAAACAAATGACCGCGGTGACAGTTATATAGAGTTTAGAGAAAGAAAACTAAAACAGTTCGTAGCTGCTAAGCCTATGGGAAAATTTACTATGCTCTTGTAGAGACGTCAACAGTTGTTTATCTTGCTTTTTGTGACTGAACAACGCGAACAAGTGCCTATAGGCGAATGTATTTATTAAGGACCGTGTGTCTATGACGACGGTGTATGCTTCAGGGCGCTTTTAGGTTCACTATAAATTGTTTATAAACGCTAGTCATGTGCACAGTTAAGATTGCAGCATTTAAAAAAATTTATGCATAACAACCGGATGATGCCTGGAACTTTTACGCGCTGATGCGAACCTCACTGTTCTTGAGAACTGTGGGAGTCATCGAAAGTTACAACATGTGTGCTATATTACTACTTAAGATTGCTACCACTGACGTTTCTTGGCTCAAGATTTGTATGCTGGATTTTAAGAATAAGCTGCTGAGGAAGGTCAAGTAAAGGTGTAAGGATACCGACTACCAGCAGGTAACAGACAACGACTGGGCTTCAACTCATTTCTATGGTACCTGAAGGAGTAGAGCCGCTAGCGTTCATTTGATCTTTTTTGTTTGTTTGTTTGTTTGTTTGTTTGTTTGTTTGTTTGTTACTGCAGCAAGTTTCTTTAATAAAATTTCTTGAGGCGACCCTAATTCCGGGATTATATAGGTGTCTGTTAGCGGTATTAGCACGTTGACGGTTGTTTACGCTGGTGTATCCTCTGAGTAAACTTCGTGTTTCGCGCTCTGCAGAAGCGGATCTCAGAGACCACCTATAGAATGAAGCACGTGGTTGAGATATGCTCCGCCAGGTGCCGCAGTGACTACAGGTGCTTACAAATTTTGAATGAACTCAGACCATTAATTTTCACTAAGTACTCTGGGCCTTATCTTGAATAATATAATGCCCTGATATCTCACGTATCAAATATAACTCTTAACCACGGATTTCTATTTTTTAGAAGACGCTCTAGGAATCTTCTGAAAAGCGGAAGTAAGTGCTCAGTCAGATGCATGTTAGGGTGAAAAGTGGGAATGTCAGTCAGTCTCGTACCACTAAAAAACATGCCTACATATTTGCGCTCTCAGCTGAATCACTGTCACCTGCAGTCTTGCTAGACGAGATAAATAAAGACAAAGCCATCCGTTCCTCTTCGAGGATTGAGTCACCACGCATTGTGCCGCAAACTTGACTGCGAATCTGGAGCACTCTTTGTAGAGTTCGCCTGCAGAGAAGACTTATCGTACATAGTCTTAACTCGTCTGAAGCTGCCCCCACCTCGTCGACGAGATGCTCCCCAAGTTCCGGCCGGGCGAACGTGTTTTCCTTCTGATCCCCGAACAACGCCGCCGCCTCGTCGGGGGAGAGCGGCGGCACTTCCTACAAGACCGGAAGGATGTTTGCTCGCGTTGTCTCACCCTCGCAACAGCAAGGCGCACAATTTCGATAGAAGAACTGCGTGGTTAGCGAGAACGGGAGAATCCCGACGAGAACACGCACCCCTCGTTTTCCGTCCTTCCTGAAAAGAAAGCGGGAATCGGGGATATGAAACAGGGAGAACTGGGATCACGGCGGGGTGCGGATGTAAGGGATGAACATGCAGAAGCGTTCCGGTGCTGTCACGAGCAGTCAACATACATGTCAGTCTTCAAAACGCGGGAAAGCTCGGAAGATGAAAAGTGAAAAAAAAAGGAGGGGGGGGGGTGCGGAAGAAGAGCTGCAGTGCAATAAGTGCTTCCTTACTCCTCCATTCGTGAGCAGAATGCTCCTTGAGTCAAGATTGCTTTGCGAAGGCGACTATTTTGCGATTACAGGAGCGCTGTTGTGTTTGGTAAAGCTCGGGGCGCTGGTGAACTGTTAGAGCGAGTTCTGTGCGTGTTCACATTAACCGTATTTTGTTATTTTTTACATAACAGCCAGGTTCTTGTATAAGGGAGGGCTTTTTTTTTTTTGCTTGCGTAACTTTTAGCAGCGCATGTTTCATAAGGTAGATCTGTGCTGTGTAACATCTGTTCGCTATAGTACACTAAGCTGGTGATCGGACCTCGGGCATCGCTTTCATGCCACCGCTGTCATCGTACACTCTCTCGTCGCACAAACGCTCGTGCATGACACAAATCCGTCCATCCATCAAAGTTCCTTGAAAGGACAAAGTATTTTTCTTACACCTTGGCAAGAGCCCAATCGATAATCTTGCTCATAAAATCATAAAAGAAAGTCCATTGATACCACTCCCCCGTGTAGGATATCAGAGTGGATGCGTAAGCTTGCCCTCTCTTTCTTTCCTTCACATCCTTACCCGCCCGACGTAAGGGCTGCATCGACCGCTTGCTTGATTGCTTGTACCACTGTTCTCGCTCTTACCCACAGAGGAGGATTGGCCCAGAAGCCGGTGGTTAATGTATGCATGCAAAACACGTTCACGTAACACCGCTTCCCACCGTGCGGGGTATCGGCACCAACTCCCTTTTTCTTTCTTCCTTTTGTTACGTCATTTTACTGTTCACCAATGCAATGTGTATCTACACATTATTACGCATTTCTGACAATCTCTTCAAATAACTAACGTGGTTGCTTGGGCGAGTTGGTACATGATCCACATAAAAAAAACTGCGCTAATAACGAGGGACAAGAAAAGAAGGAGACAGACAGCAGTACTTCGAATAACCTTCACGCTAGCACACTTCCCAGCAGAGCAAACGTGCCCATGGCAACGCAAAAAAACGTAATCATCAGCTCCATGAACAAAGGATGCACCGCCTGGCGAATTTCATTGTCCGTACTACACTCTACTTTCGCTAAGCGAAGCTGGAGTAAGGCTCTATAAAAAAAGAGAGGAATGAAACAAATACTCACAAAAGCGATCGCTTAAAATCAAACCACCGTTAGTGCGAGAACCGTGGCTGTTCGGGTAATTTTATGCTTCGCAGATTCCTCTTCGTAATTCACCATTTATATTCACAAATTATTGGAAGTACAAGCAGTTCCCGTTCTAAATAAAAGAGAGGGCCGAGAATGGAGCGTTATTTTTAAAAATAAGATGCGAGTTTAGACGTTGAAGAGCGTGAATGTGCGTAATAAAGCAATAGACTGAGACGGGCAAAGAAGGGACGCAATCACAGGACACCCACATCGCCGATCTTCCTGCTTCACCTCTGGGCTTGTGTCGCTTCGTTTGCAGCTTTGAATAAAAATGCATGCGGTTATTTTTATGTCGGTGAGAGTCATAATTTCACGCACAATGAAAGAGATAAAATCTTGTTCAACGGTAATGCAATGCCGTACGCAGCTGCTTGAAAGCGATTCTTTAGTTGTTGCAAGACGTGAGATAGCGTGCGCCTCCTGCCTGTACGCATCAGTCTTAGAAGCCATAGCTATTTACAGTGGTTCATTGCAGAGGAATTGGGGAGAGGGTAGTGGATTCGCGCCTCTGAAAAAGAGTTTCTGCAGCAGTGATGGTGACAGAACAACAGTCCGTAGAAGGAAAAAACTCACAGCTTAAAGGTGAAGCAACGAACGCGATAGCAACAAATTGTAAGGTCATGCGGAGAATGAAAAGCAGATCGAAACGTGCCCCGCGTTTCTCACGCACAAATGGCAAACAAAACGTACTCGCAGGTACAGATGAACGCGAATAAGTGTCCCGGTTGTTACTTCGATGTGTCCGAAAAGTGCGCCCTTTTTGAACGGAGACTTCGCAACAATTGCAGTGACCTTTGTGCCCCCGGTAACTTCAAAAGAATCGTTCTGGTGAAAGCCCAAGGCCAACCAAGACGTATGATTGTACCCAATGTGAGATAAGCGCACGAATTAGAGTCCACCCTGGTCACGGTCACGCTTCGCGGGGCGAAGTACGCGTGGGAGATGAGAGCGTGCGCCACCGCGCCGTGATGATGTGGCGACGTGCGCACATTGCGCCATCTTGCTGGTAGTGCTGAAAACATGAGAGTTCCCCCCAAGATGCCTGTCACCAGCGGTAAGTGGTAGATATAACTAGCTTTTTGTTTGAACGTTGGAGGGGATGCTCTTTCGTGGCTCAGTGGTTAACGCATCGCACACGCTCTTCAGAGGTCCTACGTTCGATTCCACGCGTCGCAGTCTTTTTCTGAATTATTTTTTCTTTCTTACGTTTTCGTGTATATAGATACGTATGTATATACAGTGAGTAACGGTGACGCCGATGTCTACGCCGACGCTGGCGGCAAAATCCAGCCGAGAGTGTCCGTATAACTGCGATCACCATAAGCATTGGGGTATGAAGGTGCCGGTAAAGGGATCATGGTGGTCCACAAGGTAACTGTATAGCAATTCTAATCACATGCCTGGTCTGTAATGTATCAATGGTCTGTAATGTGTTAAAAAATAAAACCTTCCTTAACCATTCGTTGCATTCCTGTTTGTCATGTTCAATGAGTGTGACCAAGACGTCAATATAACCTACTGTTATGTCACAACACTTGGCGTGGCTAGCAATAAAGCTCCTGCTATATCTCTACGCAGGTGTGCTGGGCGTCGTGGTCACCGAGGTGCGGCTCCTGTCGGACAGCAACAAGACTCAGTACGTTCTTCAGGGCGAGGGTGCCACGCTGCTCTGCTTCTTCGTGCTGTCGCCGGGAGAAGACCTGCGCCGCGTCCTCTGGTTCAAGGACGGCGCCGAGGTGTACGTGTGGCGCAAGGGACGCCGTCCGCTGGCACGCAACCTGTTCGACAAGCGCGTCGACCTGAGCAACCGCTCGCCGTCCTTCATCACCATCCTTAGCGCTCACATGTCGATGCAGGGAAACTACACGTGCAAAGTCGAGACGGATCTGGGAACCTCGCAGAACGATTTCTTCCTCACCGTCATCGTTGGTGCGTACCTCTTTCTTATTTTTTCCCTATCCCCTTCTTACCCAGTCCCCAGTGCAGGTAGCGAACCAAACATTTACCTTAACAGCCCTGCCATTCCTCACTATTTACTTGTCTCTCTCGCCCCCTCTCTTTTGAAGAAGCCAGGAAGTGGTGTTTTCATTTAGGTGAGCCGACGTCATCACGTCGTCGTAGGTTGTTGTTGTTGTTGTTGTTGTTGTTGTTGTTGTTGTTGTTGTTGTTGTTGTTGTTGTTGTTGTTGTTGTTGTTGTTGTTGTTCAACTCATCATCTTATCAGTTTACTCTTTCTTAATCTCCTTGTTGGGTATAGCCAAACAGACGCTGTGCTAGATTGAACTGCCTTCCTGTTCTCTTTTGTTCATGCTCTCTTTCTCTTGATGTTAAAAACTTCGATATATTATACCACGACACTCTCTAAGCATACTTGGGCCAGCATAGATCACATTGCACCAAAACACTTTACATTCTGGATGTTTTGTTATTCGGGTGACGTGAGAGTGCGTGAGTAAGTAAGGCGAAATGAGAGTGTCATTACATGCTTCTCGAAGCCATAGACGACAAATTAGAACCATTTCCTATCACTGTGAATTTTAAAACCGTGTCATGGGGGGAGCTTTAGACGAGCACCCAGGGAAATGGAAACTTTGGTTTGTGAAATTCGCCGAATTGTAAAAGGCGCAATGTAGGCCTACGCGCCGAGCGAAGAAACTTTTACTAAGGCATTTGCGCTCGGAGGAAAACACCAAAGTGAATTGAAATTCTGCCACAAATCCCGCAAGTTCATTTTTCAGCCACGTCAGCCGGTTAAAGTTGTCTAAGCTCTCGGGGAGAAGAAAGTCGTTCGTGGATTCAAACTCGTGGAAGTGAATAGGAGTCTTGCTTTTCCAAAAGAAGTTGTATAAGCATATTGCGTCTTAGTTTTTTTTTTTTTTCAAAATGAGAAGAGGTACGATTCCAATTTCCGACAGCGTCTAACGTAGGCCATGAGTCTTTGGAAATAACGTTCAATAAAGACCATGCTCAAAACTTATACCATTGATAATAGTAGGCTGACAAGAATCTTCATTTCATAATGGGTCTACGTGCTAACGAAATGATTCGTTGCTGCTCATATACGAACGCTGGAGTGTCGTCAAGATCTCATATCTTGCGCCCCTGTCTGCATGCCGACCATCTTGTGTCATCTTTATATTTCACAAGAGGCGCTTTTCAAAATGTTTAAAGGTTCCTTTTCTTTTCGTGCATAACGTCTGAAAGTTCATTATTTCGGAAGTACCGAGCAATTCTAACACGAAAAATTTCTGTCTATAACGTTTTCTTTGATGACTATTGAATACGGAACAGTTATTTAAACAACACTTTACTGTGATGTCATGCAGCTATCGCATACTTTTTTTCAGAAAGAAATCTTTGTGGTATACTTGACAGAAATTCCCTCTTGTAGAGACCAAGCACTGACGCTATGACCACTTTGCTTGGCGATGCATGTTTTCATTGATTAGGGAAGTTCTAACTATCATTTCGTATCATGTTAAACTGCCCTTTTATCGATCTTCTAAAGCAAATAACAATTGCGTACGACAGATTGTATAAATGCTTCAGCTAATGCAATATAAACGCTTCAGCTGAAATTTTGATAACCTTAAAGTCAGTGTACGTACACATTCAAGGCCTGTATACCAAAGCTGTAGGATATATTACCATAGAAAAACACTTTTCGGTTCGCATTTCCTGGTTGGTCAAAATCTCATGTATTTTTAGAGTGTTCAGGTAAAATATCAATTATTTATTTATTTATTTATTTATTTATTTATTTATTTATTTATTTATTTATTTATTTATTTGAAGTAGATTAGCTTCCACTTGCTACCCTTATCTTATTTCACGGAATGTTCCAAAGCTATCCACCATAATGACTTTGACGTGAATCCTCTGCGGTGGCTGATCGATCAGATCTTTATTATATTTCTAATCTGAAACACGAAGGCATCAGCTTGAGCTAGTGTCAAATAAGATAAACATTAACACCTACGAAAATTTAGCACTGACAAACCTAATCAGTGTTTAAAAGTGGCTGGAAAATGACACAGCAAGATAAGCATACTGTTTGCGATATCACACCGAAACAAATGCTGCCAAATAGTTTCATTGATGTTACTAAAATTAAATATGGAAATGCAAGAGCCCAAGTGATGACGTGATTATGAGCCACACCGGAGAGAAAGGCTCCACATTAGCTTTTACCTCTTCATGTTCTTTAACGTACAAGTAGAGTGTACTAGAACTGTAGTACAGGTGCCCCCAAAGTAAAATGGAGCACGTGAGCTGCGACCAGACTGGGCACAACTGCACGCCAGCGCACTCTATCAGCAGATACGCTGCAGATAGCGAAAGTGCGTTGGCATATATGGCTGATATTCTCATGCTCGCTTTATCGCCGGTTTGAGCAACGCCGCACTGCTCCCATCACTGCTCGATAGTGGCGAAAGTTCTGGCATTGCCCCGCCACGGTGGTCAAGTGGCTAAGGTACTCGGCTGCTGACCCGCAGGTCGCGGGATCAAATCCCGGCTGGGGCGGCTGCATTTCCGATGGAGGCATAAATGTTGTGGGCCCGTGTACTCAGATTTGGGTGCACGGTAAAGAACCCCAGGTGGTCAAAATTTCCGGAGCCCTCCACTACGGCGTCTCTCATAATCAAACAGTGGTTTTGGGACGTTAAACCCCACAAATCAAAGTTCTGACATTCTCGGCATTGCACAAAGCACACTCCTCCGAATATTTTTTCACGGCACGAGCAAACAAATGCATAAAGCATTCAGGTCGCCCTTGACAAGCACTGATAGGATCGCTCGAAATGGCGATAATGTGGCCATCAGAATACCGGGATAAGTCAACCTGATATGCCGACACGCTCTCGCTATCTGCAGCGCACCTGCTGATAGGGCGCGCTGGCACGCAGTTGTGTACAACTGTGCCCAGTTTGGGCGCCGCTCGCATGCCCTACTTTACTTGTCGCATGCTCTACTTTCCTTAATTAATCTTCGTACCATTCGCACCCCAGATTCGTGCAAGGAAGACAGCTGGACGACGTTCTCTGACCGCGTCTCGTGCACGGAGACGGTGGAGCTGGACTGCGGTGGCATGTTCCCCAAACCTTCACCGGCGTGCGGGGTGTACAATGACCAGACGGGCGTGTACCTGAACACGGTGCCGTTCGACCGCGTCGAGCCGGCGGCCAACTCGACGTACGAGGTGCGGCTGCACCGAGTCTTCCAGGTGCGAGACTGGCTCACCTTCCGAAACTTGACCTTCCGCTGCCACATCATCGTCCTCGGCACCGACTGGAGATCCGGTATCACGCACAAGCTTTTCGGAGGTATACGTTCAAAGCAGACCCAATTTTATTCAGTCATCGATAACTGTAGCCATTTCGAAACATCAGTGCTTGGCAGCCATCGATAGTAGAGGCGAGACGCGAATTTTTAGAGAACCTTCGACTGACAGGTGTCTGTCGAGCTATCCCGGGCATTACTAAAGCATGCGGTGGTTCTGTGTGTTGATGCGGATCATTCCTTGATTTACACCACGAAACTAACGATCGTTATGTTTTTCAGTCACTAATCATATCGGGTTCTTTGAGTAGAAGAAGATTGCGTGTTCGATACTTGTATTGAGGTAAGTCTTTTCCGTACAGAAATCTAATGCTTCACCGATAAGGCTACACACGTAGGCATATTCGTATGGCATAATTCAAAGCAAGCTTAACTAAAACATGTACGTCATGTTGCGTGGAAAGTAGGAAGAAAACTACTACTACTACTACTACTACTCTTACTACTACTAATGCTGCTAATAGGGATACTATTATTAATATCTGGGGGTTAACGTCGAAGAACTGCTATGTGATTATTAGAGACGACATAGTAGAGAGCTCTGCAAACTTTGATCATCTGGTGCTCTTTAACGTGCACTTACATCACACAGTGCACGACCGTCTACCATTTCTCCTCGACCGCCATGACCGGGATCGAACCCATGGCCTTCGGCTCAGAAGCTGATAACCGTGACCTAACTCGATGAGAAGAAAGCGAGGAAAGAATTAAGGAAAGAATAAAGTAGGGAACAAGCGGAATGAAAAGAGGCTATCCCGTGCTTAGATCGGCTGGGTATACCCGGCGCTGAGGAAAAGGGTTAGGAGATAAAATATTAGTTTGCGAAGTATTCAGTACCACCTTAATGTCCTGGTTAGTAACAAAACGCCGGAGTACTATAAGCCAGTGCTCGTACTGTCGCTGTCATACTTAATTTGTCCTTTTGCTGATGACTGTCACTCTCATGTCACTACACAGTCGCCTCAATGTACTACGAACCCACAAGAGCGCAAGTATCAGCAATATTTCAAGTGCCCCTGAGTTGTGGTGCTTGCAGCATAAATGTCGCTGAGTCATTAAGTGAGACTTCGTATGCATGGTTATTTATTTTTTTTAATCTTGAACTAATTGGAAGCCAAAAATTTGTGTACAATTCTTTTTTGTTTCTTACTTTTAAGAAGCAGTGCACTAACCACTTGTGTTTATATACACATAAGCTTGGTAGTGTAAATTCTTTTTTTTTTCTTTTTCACACTTCGGAATATTTTGAATATGCACCCCAGACGGTTCGAATGAAAGAAACAGATCGTCAACCTTAACACCACGAATGTAATAAAAGTAAAGCATTAACGAAAAGATAGAGAGAGAAGGGAAGAAAGAAAGAAAGCTAAGCCAGGGCCTCTCTTTGTAGAAAAACGAAGGGCTGCATCGAGTTTAAATTGAGGACGCCGCATACTGTCCGGCCATTATGGCGCTATAGCGCGACGACACGGTAATTTATCTTCATTATTTTCATACTGCATCGTTAGCGCGAGAAACGCTTGCATGTGAAACGAATCCGCCAGTAGGTGGATAGCACCCACCTTATTTTTAGATGACCGTTTTCTTTTAGCTCCAAAACGGGCTAGCTTTTTTCAAGTCTAGCGAATAGGCTGCGTCGCACAGCTCCTGAATAAACGATCAGGGGCCGCGGGGATATGTTAGGCATATTTTTTTAACGATTGCGGCTTCTAAGGAGTCCTAGGCCGGAAGCAAATTACCGAAGCGCTTGGTCTCAACTCGAAGGATGCATATAATTCATGCATCGGCTTTGTGTTCGACGTGCGCGCTAAAAAAATTAGGAATAAAATTCTTCTTGCAATATCTTGCTCCAGAACTAGGGCATTAGCATTTAGGCGGAATAACAAAAGGCGTTTTTAAATCTGGGGTCCTTTATTTTTTTCATTTGTTTCGGTACGCTCGCGATGTTTATGTGCAAATTTATTAAATCAATTGACTTAATTAGACATAAACTCAAATTCGAATAATTATATTTTCCGGAAATATAGACAGAGATCGCCGCGTCTGTAAGCCCGTAGACGTTGTGAATGAAACTTTCAGAGCGAGTCTGCCATTTTCATTGTATTTTGGGGGACTTAAAGCCCTTAGGTAAACGTATTGCGCAGATTAAACTTGTGCATTCTAATTCATTCATTCATTCATTCATTCATTCATTCGGGGCATTTACACGAACGCACTTGTGCAGAAGCATGTCGTTGTCTAACAGCTGGCCTAAGGACAAATTCACACACAAAATTCAAACCTCTAAAACTAACCATATACAGCCGCCAGGGTAGTGTTCCTTCTCAGCAGAAGTTGCCTTGTACGCTTCTTCAAACCAACACGTAGGAGTCACGGCTGGTTTAGAGCACTTTTTTATGAATTCAAACACAACGCTGAATTTTGTTAGCAGCGATATCATACAGTCATGCTAAACCTGCTAATTCAATCGCCTTAACGAAGTCTAACTGGGCGAGAGTCACCCTTGCCTGACATGGTACGTGGTTTTCTAAAGTTGGTTGTGTTGCATAACAACTGCTTCAAACAGCGAAGCTAACACAATATACTGCACTGAAGCCTACTAGTCGTTTAACGAAGCAGATTGAGAATGAAAAGGGAGTATGTCAGGAGACTCAGTGTGCGTTCCACAATACGCGAGCGGGCCGTCCTCAGTCAAGGATTAATTAGCAAGGCCGGCAGGTGGGCATAACAAGAAGCTGTCATCAAGGCTACGTCACAAAAAGCACTGAAGGCCTGCCAGCACACTTAATATACATCTCGCTACTCTGCGCACGTATAATGAAAGACCACAGCGCAAGCTTCAACGCGGTGCTCCTTCCCACTCTTCCTACGCATTAGTGCACGACAAATAAGGCTCGTCGTGCGACACTCTGCAAGTTTTGTTGCATAACAGTTGGTTGGCGAAGGAAAGCAAGCTTTACGAAACCGATCATTATAGCAACTTGAATGAGACCCTGTCCAGTTTTGTACAGTAAGAGCACGTTTTCTTTTTCAAGTAAGGGTGAAGAAAATAAAGGAAATGGATAAAATTACACGCCCAGTATAGTGAAATTCACAAGCTGCATCGGAAAGAAGACTGCTTATCGAATAATCTTCAGCGACATCGACCAAGCGTAAACCATTCAGCTGCAATAGAGACGAATTTGTTTCTTCTTCACCAGCGATTGCAATGTGAGAGACCTAATCGATGAAATAATTTTTGTGCAAGCGCAGATTATTCGTATTGACTCGGTATTTTTGTATAGCGATCGAACACAACCACAATAGTTGTGTATGCACGATTACGCAATTCCTGCCTGTTTCCATTTTCTCCTGAGCTTGCGACTGCACATGCCTTGGAATTAGACCCGAGCATGCTGTATTCATAATCAGACTCACAGTTTTCAAACGCCGTGACGTGATTTGAAAGTATCGGATAGATACTGCAGATTCAATTAATGAAAACTGTACGCTGTCGTCGATAGAGTCTACGCCTAATGTGATTGCTCATTGCTTCCTCACTTTGCTTTTTCCGCGCGCAAGCATTATCGCGCCATTCTGAGTGCGTTTAGCGTACTACAATGAAGAGAATCTATGCCTCCCGCAAAGCATGATCTCGGTCTGTCTGTCCTTCAATCGGAGTGGTCGACTTAACCCACTCAATCGGATAGTCAATCATGAACACTTGCGAAGCCAAGCTTTAAAGCATGGGGTTAATCTCATGGACTTGTCTCGAAATTTCAAAACAACATATCGCTGAAACTCCAATGTCGTTGAACCGGAGTAAGTATTTCCGCAATATATTTACAGAAATAGACTCCTGTAATTGTCAAATAAATTAATAATTATGATTGGCTAAGTGAAACAAAAGAATTGGCGTAGCTTGTACTGGAGGTGCGATGTTCAAGATGTTCAAGAGAGATACATCAAAGGCGTATACCAGATACATCAAAGGCGAGGAAGAAGACAACGAAGCTGTTGCTGCTTGGCTAAGTAGCTCTGTCTGCATTTATCGTTTATTTTTGTTTATATTACGGCTCAGCACTGCTCAAGACATCAAACGACTCGAAAAGGTACCTGCCGTATCGGCGACCGATGGGTGCTGCGCAGCCCGCCGCGTCGAAAGGTGGTAGAAGAAACGAAACAAGCATCAGTGAGAGCGCCGCCATGACCTCCCAAGGTGGGACACCAGGTCAGAAGCACCAGCTGGTTTGCGCAAGCATACCTGATTGCAAGCCACAACACAGCGTTGAATCAGAGGACGAATCAACTGTCGTCGGGGACCACAACGGGGCGAACCTCACAGATCTAGATATGGACGAGGGTGGTTTCCGCCTTGTGCGACATTGCAAAGACAGGACGGTGGGCATTCCTGTGTTAATTGCTCCAACATCCCGAAGGAGCTAACTTGAGGCAAGTGAATCCTATTGACCTATACTCGGAAATTGAAACGATTCTCGGTGGAGCCCCAGTTAAGAGCCGTTTCACAGCACAGGGAACCCTGCTCTTGGATATAGAGACAGAACACCAAGCTAATATGCTTCTAGAGACCAACACTATCTGCGGCCTTGCCATATCTGCCCGTGTACCACACAGCTACATGAAAAATACGTGCATTATAAAAGGGGTCCCAAGATGGTACTCGGACGAAGAGCTGTTAACCTACCTGAGACCTCAGGCAGTATACCACGCAAGAAGAATCTTACGACGGGTCCAAACCTCAACCTCTGAGTTGGAATCAAGGCGCACTGACTCTGTGGTTCTCACATTCGCTCCCAATTCGGAACGTCTAGAGAAGATCAACCTTGGCTTCAGCAGACACGAGCTGGTAGACTACGTGGAGACGCCGCCACACTGTTTTAAATGTCAGCGTTTTGGACATGTTGTTAAGCACTGTCGTGGGGAACAAAGGTGTAAGTGTTGTGGGGGGCCTCATGACTTTAATACGTGTACAAGTAAAGAAAAA